GTGTGTGTGTGTGTGTGTGTGTGTGTGTGTGTGTGTGTGTGTGTGTGTGTGTGTTATAGTGTTTTTTTATTATTATTATTATTATTATTATTTTATTGATTTCTATTTTTTTGTTCTTTAATTTGTTTTTGTATTGGAACATCTCTTCTGTCTGCTGTAATAATATATGAAAACATCTGAATAGCCCTAGATGCCACCATGATAGTCTTGTGTTTGCGAATGTAAATAAAGTTTCATATTTTTGAATCTGAAACTATCGTAAAGCAGTCGTTTGTTTGTCGTGCGAATGCCGGTTGCCATAACGACAGCCAAGATGGCGGCGATGGCGACTGGAGACGAGCATGCTTCCTCTGAAGTTTTGAGAGGACTCGCCCGACATTTAAATTGTCTGAACGAAGACAACAAGGCGACAAGAAAAAGAGCTCTGGAGGCGATCAAGAAGGAGACGGTTGATAAAGGACTGTCCAGCAGCGCCTTACAGGAAGTCTTTTCTTCCCTCATCAAGCCTCTCCTTAAATGCCTGTCAGACCCAATGGAAAGATGCAGAGAAACTACTATAGCGGTTTTGACAGAGTTTATCCGATGTGTCCCGAAGCCGGAGGAATCGCTGCCTTATCTCATGCCCTGCTTGGCTCAGCGATTTGGGGAGAAGGAGATCCTGGAACCGGCGGAGGAACTTCGCCTGTCGGCCATGGAAATGCTAACTCTAATAGTGGAAGTGTGCGGGAAGAATTTAGCACCCTATCTGAGCGAAGTGATCAACATACTGCAGAGAACCATCGTAGACCCTTTCCCCGATGTTAAACGTGAAAGCTGCAAGTGCACCGTGAACTTTGCGAAGTGTGTGCCAGGTTGGTGAATGGGTTTTGTTGTGGCTGTGGAGAAAGCTGGTTACCATGGTTTCGAAGCACGCAGACATGTTTGGGGCCCAACAGCTCTCTTTCCTGTACTGCGCAGGTGCCTCCGCACTTATATTAAATGGCAAGAGTGACGTTTTTGTGCTGGGCAACTAGAGCAGTCAGTAGTTGCTTGTTTTGCCTGAACAGATCCCGTAGGCACACTGACGTGTTTCACATCGTCAAATGAATGTTAATATTAGACAAAGAATACCCGAGTAAATGCACAATGCTGTTTGTAAATGATGGTTTCATTTATTAAGGGGAAAACAATTTAAACTTACCTGGCCCTGTGAGAAAAAGAATTGCTTGCTTCTGGTTAAATCATTAATTGGCTGTGATTAAGCTCAATTTTCTACCTAAATTACTTATTTTTCTTAGTAAATGAAATTATCATTTTAAAATGCACTTTCTATTTATTCAGGTTACCTTTGTCTGATATTAAAATTTGTTTGATGATCTGAAACATCCAAGTTTGACAAGTATCCAAAAAAGAGGAAATAAATCTGGATTAGTGCAAATACTTCTCACAGCACTGTACTTGGTCTGATAATGTATCATAAGTTGTGTATTATATCACTGCATGATCCAGCTTTCAGTTAGACAATTGAATGGACTGCAATCCTTTTCCCTTCTCTCTCTTCAGAGCACTTTCACATGCAAGCCGAGTGTCTCATTAAGCCCCTCATGTTGACAATTGCTCATCAGCACACTCGGGTACGGGTTTCTGTCGTCGAAGCCACTGGGGCGGTCATTCAGCATGGAAGTGGGAAAAAAGTGGATGACGTGCTCTCTCACCTGGCGCAGAGACTGTTTGACGACTCCCCTCAGGTTCAGTTTTTTGGAGGGAAAAACTTCCAGGAATAACATGACCATGGATTAACATTTTTGTCCTAAAACTCAAAACCATTTTGTCTATGTTTAGAAGATCCTGAATTTTGCCCCCCTATCATTCTCTCTTTGGATCCAGGTGAGAAAAGCTGTGACTGCAGTCGTCGGTGATTGGCTGTTGCACTTCAGAGACAGATATTCTTATTTTCACAAACTCATCCCTCTCCTGCTCAGCACCATCAATGATGAGATCCCAGAAATAAGGTTAAAGTCCACAGTTTTATTCTGTAGTGTAATTTCCTGTTTAGAAACTACATGACACAATTTCTTTACACAAACACAGTGGCTTTTAATTCAAACATGATGCTGAAGTGCATGTTTTCAACTTTAATTCAAGGCTTTTTAGGGGGTTAAGAATTGCAGTCATTTTTATACACATTCTCCTATTTCCAATTTGATAAATTAACAAATTTTATATTTGTTTGTAATACTTGAGTGAAAATCTTTTGGGGTCACTGACTGTACACACCAAATGGACACACCAAATGCTTTGTGTCTTCCCTTGAGATATATTGTCAGACCTTTACTACAGCTATGTTCAGTTGCTGCTTGTTTGTGGGTCTCTGCATTCGTTTCTGTATTTAATAACTGAAAAAGCATGCTCTGTTGGGTTGAGATCAGGTGACCTGACTTGGTCATTGAAGAACATCCCATTTCTTTGTAGTGAGAAACTCTTAGGTTGCTTTGCAGTTTGCTTTGTTTCATCATCCATTCGCACTGCAAAGCGTTGTCTGATCAGTCTCTGAGCAGAGAGCTCTGTACACTGTAAAATACACTCTGCTACTTCTATCAGCAGTCACATGATCACTAAACACTAGTAGTCATACATGCCCATTCCACAACACTACCTCCACTTTGTTTGACAGATTATGTGGTGTGCTTTGAATTATGTTTCTCTCCTCCTCCATACTTATCTCTTCCCATCATTCCAGTAAAAGTTAATCTGGGTTTCATGTGTCCAAATTATTATTTTCTCAGAACTGTGCGGGCCTGTTTAGATGGTTTTTTTGGAAAGGCTAATGTGGGCTTCATGCTCTTGGAACCTTAACAAGGATAGACCTTTCTCCTCAAGAGGGTTTTTGTGTTAGATGTTTTCTTAGCCAGTGAAAGAATTCTGCCATGGTGCGCTTTAGTTGACTTCTATGGCCTTTCAGCTGAACAATGTCAGTGTCATTTCTGAAGTGTTTGCCAGCTTGCTGATAATGTTTATTTTGGTTTTTCAGCCTAATGAAGAACCCCCTTCACTTGCACAAACATCGTTTGTTCCTCATATTTAGAGTTCTAGTGTACAGCTGCCAAATGCAGGTTCAAGTGTGTATAAAAATGGCTGTAATTGGTTATGCAGTACTGTTTTTACACTCTTTCATTTACATATTTCATTTACATATAAACTGTCTGACTGTGGCTATATGATCCACTGGACCTAGATGTATATGAAATATAGTGCAAACAACAATGACCATACTATTATTTCTCATCTTTCCGTTTCCTCTTTCAGACTTCTAGCCGTTGATCTGTGGAAGCAGGTAGGCGCACAGTGGGAGAAGGAGAATGAAGATGACATCAAGGACAAAATGGACTTCCTTCTCACTCCACCTCCACATTACTCATCAGAAGGTCTGAAGGTGTTGTTTCTTCCCTATGCTACAATTTTTAAGGAGTGTGGTCATCCAGTTGGGTATTTTGGTAAATAATGTAAAGAGTTCAAGCTAGAGTGAATGGTGAACTTTGACATTGACATTTTTCTCCATCTCAGTAGTTCTAAAAGCTGTTGTTGTTTGTGATCAAGGGATCTTAGTAAATAAGACAAGAATAAGCTGTGGAGTGGGTGGCATCGGTGTAATGCATCAACCTCGACTCCGCGTAGGTGGTGAGACAAGGGATTAGAAAGCTTTCTGTATATGGCGTTTTACTTTCTTGTCTAGACTCAAAGTTCTTAAAGCAGCTGCATGTCAGCGTAAAGCTAAATGTAATAGCTGCACCCTACTCCACTAAATCTTGTCTCTTTATTACAGCTGTTCATAGTTATAATGTACAGTAAGAAGAAATGATGCAGTCTATGACAGCTTTGTTGTCAAGGCAGGTACTGGCTTGGAAAGATTAGTGTTTGCCTCGGGCCTGGTAGCAATATGAACCTGAAACATGGCCACAATAGTTGGCCTGCAGTTTGCCTAGAGGGCCAGGACAAATATGTGCACAGCTCGGTTGCACAAGTCTGCATTTTTAAAAAGAAGATCCTGTACACTGCTCCACATGGGACAGTATGAATGAATACTGGTTCTGCCTGGCGACAGGAAAGGAAGAGCACGTTTCTCTCTGTCCTTCTTTCCATTTTTGTCTTGTGATCATAAATCTGCCGGGCCTCCCAGTGTGAAGAGGTCACTGTCAAACAGTGAGAGACAACCAGAAAGGGCCTTGTTTGGTCTTGTCCTGTTGTGTTTCTCTGATTTATCTCTGGCTTCCTTTAGTCCTCCCTTCCTCTCTCATTAGTGTGCCTATAGGAGAAGGGCAATAAGGTGGCAGGTTAGTGAAAAGAAAGACAAGCAAAAGTGAAATGTAGAAGGCTATATGGAAAAGTGTTAACTCTTGCTCTGACAAGCCCCTTTTGGCGGAATCTCAGTCATAAAAAGTGGTTTTGGGGGGTTTTCTAGAGAATGTGGAGCCCACTCAGCACACTTTTGAAAATATGTGAATTAGTGGCATTTCTTGTGCTGTAAATGCTCTTTTTAAGGATTCATATAGTTCATAACAATGTGCGTAACAAAATGATTTCACACGTAGACTACACATAAATTAATTAAGCATATGCAATGTACTCTGAACAGAAAATATTTTGGATTATGGGTCTTGATATCTATATTAGTGTGATATTTGAGATACTTTTGATCACAACCTAGCATCCTGGAGAGTGTTCAGTAAATTTGTAAAGCAAATCTCTCTCTATTATCTGCTATTTTCTGTTGGAACTCTCCATCTTAATGCTAAGTGAATGAGACGGAAAACATGAGTTTTTCCAAAGAAAATACAGATTACAAACAGTGGCAGAGTATGCTTAGGCGAATTTTTCAATTTCTCTTGCAGTGGAGCGTCCAGGGTTAGGCTGCAGAGAGCTGGTTGTGAGAAATCTGGGGAAGCTGGTACCGGCTATCACACACGATGTGACCGATTGGCTGGTGCCAACGCGGGTTAAGACCTCTCAGCTTCTCTCAGTGCTGCTGCTCCACGCCGAGGACCATTGCATCCAGCACCTGCCGGCCCTATTGGCGACCCTCTATCGGGCCTGCACAGATAGCGAGAGGGACGTAGTCAACAATGTGAGTAACCAGAGAAGTAGAGCACATTATACATCACTTTTTAAAAGATTTTTTTCTTTGATTGTTTTAAATGTGGAATTCAGTAAATTTCACATCTGCACATACTGTAAAATAGCACTGTTTCTTCTGAGTCAGCAGTTATTCTTCATGTCAGTCTAAACATGCTTCTATATTTAAACTAGGCCAATCAGGGCTCAAGGACTTGGGATGCACCTGTTTGCATATGAGGATTATGCTGATCTTTGATCTGTGGAAAACTCATCATCCTCGACACTCCCTCAGGTCTCTGCTCTTGACTCTCTTCCTCTCTGTTTCCACCTTCAGTGTCTGGCAGCTGCTAAACTGATAGGGACCTTTGTCCCTCCACCTGTTTTCCTCAAACTGCTGCTGGATCACGTGGCCAGCCCACACTCTTCCTCCCACCCTTGGGCCCCCCTCATGGTCCTGGCTGCCGTGCTCGGAGGATGCTCCAGGCCCCTCCTTAAACCACACATCCAGCAGGTCGCCAACGCTCTGGCCCAGCCCGATGTGTGCCAGGGATATCAACAGGTCAGCAGAGGGAAGCTCGGGTTTCGTTGTGGTTGGCCTGTTTTGAACTTATTTACCTGAGTATGAGTGTTCTTCCAGTAATGCCATGTACCTCCTGCTCGCCCACTACAAACACATTCTCTTACTGTTTTTTAGCTGATTTCCAGTATGAAGTTTACTGGTAAGGGAGGGACACGTTGAAAAAGTTAAAACATTAAAATCACACTTGTTTTGATGACAGCTTACCTTCCCTCACAGGAAGCCATGTTTTGATTTTCCCCATCCCAGCTAGTCTGTGTGCACCAGCTGTTTCTCTTAAAGTCATGTTAGATGATCTTGGCAGTGTCATAAAGGGTCATTTTCTGCTTTCTCTGTGTACCTTAGCGCTCTTATTATTGGCAGTGACTTTGCAGCAATCATCTACTGTATATATTTCTGGTGTAATTTGTCCGTTATGGAAATAAGTTTGATGATAAGGTGAAAGTCTTCAAGGCTTTTCAATAGCTCTACTGTATGGGGTGAGTTCAGGAGGTTCACTGTGGAGGAATTCTCCAAAATGCCAAGTCTGTTAAGGTGACACTCAGGGCCACATGGTGTTTTTCAAATCTAGCATTGCACTTTGATGGCACCGCCTCTGCTCAATCGCAGCTATGAACTGTGACTGAAATACATTTGGGCTTTCTTTGTAAATAATAGGAAAATTCCTATCGTGTGCGGAGCAGACATTTCCATGCCTCTTTTCCTCTAGCGCCAAATATGTTTCCCTAGAAATATGGTATCTAAGCAGATTCTTACTCTGGATGGCATTACCTTGGCCTCCAGTAATGCTGTGAGGAACCTTGGAGTCATTTTTGACCAGGACATGTCCTTCAATGCACATATTAAACAAATATGTAAGACTGCGTTCTTCCATTTGTGCAACATCTCTAAAATTAGAAATATCCTGTCTCAGAGTGACGCTGAAAAACTAGTTCATGCATTTATTACTTCCAGGCTGGACTACTGTAATTCATTATTATCAGGATGTCCAAAAAACTCACTGAAAAGCCTTCAGCTAATCCAAAACGCTGCAGCAAGAGTACTGACAGGGACTAGAAAGAGAGAGCATATTTCTCCTGTTTTGGCTTCCCTTCATTGGCTTCCTGTTAAATCCAGAATTGAATTCAAAATCCTGCTCCTCACATACAAGGTCTTAAATAATCAAGCCCCATCTTATCTTAATGACCTTGTAGTACCATATCACCCTATTAGAGCACTTCGCTTTCGCTCTGCAGGCCTACTTGTTGTTCCCAGAGTATTTAAAAGTAGAATGGGAGGGAGAGCCTTCAGTTTTCAGGCCCCTCTTCTATGGAACCAGCTTCCAGTTTGGATTCGGGAGACAGACACTATCTCTACTTTTAAGATTAGGCTTAAAACTTTCCTTTTTGCTAAAGCATATAGTTAGGGCTGGACCAGGTGATCCTGAATCCTCCCTTAGTTATGCTGCAATAGACATAGGCTGCCGGGGGATTCCCATGATGCATTGAGTTTTTCCTTTCCAGTCACCTTTCTCACTCACTATGTATTAACAGACCTCTCTGCATTAAATCATATCTGTTATTAACCTCTGTCTCTCTTCCACAGCATGTCTTTTATCCTGTCTTCCTTCTCTCACCCCAACCGGTCGCAGCAGATGGCCGCCCCTCCCTGAGCCTGGTTCTGCCGGAGGTTTCTTCCTGTTAAAAGGGAGTTTTTCCTTCCCACTGTTGCCAAAGTGCTTGCTCATAGGGGGTCATATGATTGTTGGGTTTTTTTCTCTGTATCTATGAAGCGCCTTGAGGCGACTTATGTTGTGATTTGGCGCTATATAAATAAAATTGAATTGAATTGAATTGAATTCACAATAACAGTTGTCTGCCAGATAACCGCACGACGGGCCTACCTATATGGACCTACATGACCCCATCCCTTCTCATAGTGCCCTGCAAGAATTTCCTTCTTGAGATAATAATAACAAAAAATCACTAATTCATGTGACCCCAGGATGACTGCTGTGACCCCTCTGAGCAGGCAAGGCAACGCAAAGGCTTTGGTTTTTTGTTTTTGTTTTTTTAATAGCCAGGCGAGCTCCTAGCGCCAGACTGCAGTTCAGCCATGCCATTCAAGGAATCCCTGAAATTTCAAAGCCTGACTGGTCAAGGCTGGTGATAAATGAATACGGAAACTGACCTCCTTCTGTCCTCCCTCGTTGCTGTCTGGTGGGGTCAACCAGAAAAAGAATTAACCGGATGGGACAGTCACATGCTGTCGCACAGATGCAGGGAGACCTCTGCTTCCTCTCTGTCTGTCTCTCCATCTATCTTACTCTGTCAGTCTCCTCCTCTGTTTCTGAGGGCAAAGCACAGAGCACTGCTCAGGGGAGGTGGCAGAGACAAAGCACCTGCAACATTCTTTGACAACAGACAGAGTTCATAGCATGGAGACGGGCCAGATCTCCGTGTAGCTGTAAATAACACCAACGGAGACAGGACCACCTGCGTTCAGGATGGCGGTGATCTCTCTGCGCTAAAATGCCAAATACCTTTTAGATTGACCTGCTTTTGATTATTATTGGATAAAAGTTTGTTCAGCTGCAGGCACAATGGCAGCATAGAAAGCAAGGCACACTCAGAACCTTATTTTATTCTTAATTTTTTATAAATATAGACATTTAAAGGACTTAAAAATATAAGTGCAGTCTTCAGAGAGTTATGTGGCACCTGAACAAGAGGCAGAGAAAAAGGAGAAGGTGAAGTCTGACTTGAACACAATGAAGCCTGTTAAGAAATTAAATATAAATAAACTTCAAAGTGAGCGTAGGCAGACTTGAAGGCCCTGTAAGGAGCTGATATATGATGCTTCTGCACGACATAACCTCACAGGCTCTTTCAGCTGTGTTTTCTTTTCTTTATTTTGAGAAAGGGGGGGTGGGACGACTCACAAAAATAAATGACAGATGCTTCGTGGAAAAACAAAAAAACTTTTGGTTATAAATTGAAGATGATTTCAGGAGCTTGAGCGGACATGAAAGAGTGTGGTTAAAGAAGCCACCGTGTTCAGATGTGAAATTTATGTTTTCTTATGACTCCCACATGGCCGCAGTGGATCATATCATACACACCTTTCACAGCTGTGGTGTCCCTGTGTTTTAGGCTGCCATGGTGATAGAGACATCAGCACGTCTGCAGGGCTGGTGTGGATTGGTAAAGATAGTTAGAGCTGGAAGAGCTCTGTGAGTTTCACAGCCAGGATTTAGAAGAAAGGTCTTTTCATCTTGTCTGCACACGGAGAAGCTTCGCAATGTCGCAACATCAACTATTCTGCTGAACAAGCAAGCGTACTTTCATACATTAGCGAGTCTCCTGTGTGCATGCACCTTGCCATCAGCGACAGCTGGGTACCGCTCACTGCTCAACTGAAGGGCAGACAAAGAGTGCAAAAAAGGCATAAGAGCAACTTTCAGCTCACTGCAAAGGGTCGATATTGCATCTACTCCCAGTGTTTGTTTTTCTGTTTCCATAGCAATGTCGGTAGCTGTTGGTGGAGTGGGTTGGGGGGGGGTTCCCCATTGGATAGAAATTCCAGGTCCTAGTATAGCTTCTTAAAGAGGAGTATCGTAAGTGATGCATCCAGCGGTGGACAGATGCACGTACGCGTGGTGATGAGGGCCCCTGGAACGTGCCCAGACCAATAAAACCAGGTGTATCTCGACCTGCTCCAGGTGTCCACCTAGTCATTACACCGCACCACTTTTTCCGCTCCCTCACTCTCGGCCAGCCCTAATCGTTGTTTTCTGCGAATGTTTAATATGCAGCATCTGAATGTGTGTGCCGCGTTATTTCCAGTACTGCTTCCCTGGTGCCCCTGCTGTGTGTATGTCCCAGTGAAAAGCTCAGTCATAAGAAGGGATCCCCCACCCTGGTCAATGACATGAGAAATGCATTCAAAGACCGGTGTATGGTGCAGCAGGCAAGTTGTGTTTAAGTGTTTGTTCTAGTCTATTTTTGCATTGCTATATGACTTTGCTGTAACCCCTGATTGCTTGGAAATTAATCCCAAGATTCAAATTTGGGAAAAGAGAGTGCACCACCTAGTGCTAGTCAGCCAACTACCACCAAAACCATTTCAAAACCCAACCGGTCTTCCTGCAGACCAAAGCAAACACCTGGAGGGCATTCTTCCTCTTAACAACTCATACAAAATCACACACTCTCAATCACACTTACACCTTCCACCCCTCACTCTCCTTCTAACTCTACCCCCTTGACACCCTAATGACAGGCTGTGTGAAAACAAGGGGAAAAAAGGGCCACGGTCCCAGTGATGGCATGGAAATTAGTCTGACCTGCAGGTCTTTGTCTAAACATGAGCTCACCACAACACTGCCTGACAAGTGTCAGCAATCGCACACACACTTGTGTGTTTTCAGATGAGGGGAAAAACGTTCTCACTCTGTGTTACTGTGTATCTTGTTCATCTGTTATTACTGGTAGGAAACATGAGACAAGCGGCCATTTAGTTGTTCCAGAATGATGTCACCAGGTTAAAAAAGCGGGATTGCTTCTTAGAATTCACAAAGAAAAGACAGTCTTAATAATAATGCATTCCTACCACGCCTCTCACAGGTTATGTACTTGGAGCAGTTGCTGGCGTGTGTGGATGTGCTGCTGCATCAGTGTGAGTCAGACTGCAGCTCAGGGAGCCTGCAGCTGCTCCAAGTGCTCATCGCTGTCCAGAGCTTCTCCACTGAGCCACAGCTGAGCGAAAAGGTGAGAAAACATCCACATCATGAAGTCACAGATCCAGATCCATCCTTCCTGCAGCTCTCGTCTATATTTTGCTCTGAAATTACACAATTTTCCCCTTCACTTGTTGTTTTTTCCCCTTTAATTTTTTTTTACTAGAAAGGTAAGCAGGTTTTATGACACGAGAGCTATTCGAGGAATGTAAGCATTTACATGGGCTCAAACTGTATAATTACCCACTTAGCCACGGGAGCTGAAATTGCACCTTTGGAGTGGAACTTTAAATCCAGTCTTTGTGGAAGGGAGGCGGGGGAAAGGTGGAGAATGAAAGAAACGGACAGAAATAGGGGTGGAGAGGGATGAGTTGTGTTGCACTTGTGACACAGGTTTGTGTCAGAAGTGAAGCCCCGTTTAGTTCCATAAAGCCTTCTCAGGTGAAAAAAAGCCATCTCATATCCTGGTAATAAATTACCTCTCATCTTGTGGTCAGGCTCCACATGCCAAGCACAAACAGGACCAGTGACAAGTGAAGCCAGTGGCATCTGAGGTCAACATGTCATCTAACTTCTTGTCGCCAATCGTAGGGTAATGATAGGGAGAGGAGCGGGAAGGAACTGGCACAGATGCTCACCAGACACCACATGGGCCACCAGTGTGACTGTGTGTTTATGTCTGTCTGCATCAGTGTGTATGTTCACACAGGGAGCAGTGAGTAGAGAAGAGATGGGAAGGAATGGATTAAGAAAGAGAGGAATGGTGAGAATGGCCTTGGGCATTCCCGGACCCAGAGGAAAAGAAGAACTTGTTTTCCCAGAAAAGGGGCATGTCTTTCCCATCAGCGGACAGCTCAGGGTTGTCTGGCTCTCTTCTGAAAGAGACGATTTGTGACTCAAACAATGTATCTGTCCCCGTCCATCCCTAAGGGACTACAACGGGAATTATTAAGTGCCCCATAGGTCTGTTTCCCTGCCATAAGAACTCAGCTAAGTATTTACTATCCCTTTTTTCTTTCATTCTTTCCCTTTCCTCTGAGCTCAGCTTTATTGATGTGTGTGTGCATGTACTGGCGGTTCCTGTGCCTTTGTGACATCCTGTGTATCTATGTTTTAGTTTCTGAGTGGTTGTCTGTGTGAGACCCTGTCATGTCTGCTCTGTTATTCTTCCCATGGCTTCACACGATGCTTTTGTGTCTCATCCGAATTCCTGAAATTATTGGAAACCAGTAGCTGTTCAGCTGAAATAATTCTCTTATCACTTTGTCTCATCTTTGTTAAGCTTTACTCCCGCTCAGAGTTCTGCTTTTTTTGTTTGTTTGTTGTTTGATTTTTGATTTTTTTTTATAGACACTTCATGATTTCAAGTAAACCTTGCAGTCTAAACTTATGTTGACTTAATTTTGCTCCACCTACCCCCTCTCTTCTTCAGGCGTTGGAGAGTGTGCAGTTCTTGTGTAAGGTGCAGGGCTTGGACTCGGTGATGGAGCTCTATAGACAACATATGGGCCAGCTGCTGGACTGGCTGTCTGCCTCTGTCAACACCTGGTCCAGTTACTCCCCAGAGAGACTTCAGCTGCATATCGTAGTCATACAATCAGGTGAGAGCTGAAGCTTGTATGTGTGCAAGATGTAGCCACTTTATACTGCAGGTGCTGAAGTCTTTGCATGTATAGACTCTACAGTGGTAAAAGTGGAGGAAAAAAAATATGCAGTAAGGTTTTTAAGACATGGGTACTTCGAATTGCCACATGAAGAAAATCACTACATCCATCAGTTTGAGCAGGTTCACGTCCACCTCATGTGGTAGTAATTTTTCAGCTTGTTCGGACATGATATGCTACATCATATTTTAAGAATAAGGTTATTTGTCCCTCACATGTAGTCCATATTGAAGGCAGCACATACGCTTTACTGCACAAATAGTTGGGATAGCTTTGGGTTTTTGGGGAGTTTGGTTTGTATTGTTGTCTTTGTCCTGCATGCACCGAAGCAGGAGGAATCATGAAAGCACATCCTACCACCTCTCATTGGTTCTTGCTGATGTTTGCTCATGGTCCCAACTCCTCCTGAGAGAAGCTGGAGAGGTTCTAATCTCAGCAGTCAGAGCTGATGTCAGTGCTGTCGGCACAATCCATGTCGATAGTCGAATGTTAAGGATAAAAAAATTATGCTAGTTAATACCTGACAGTTCCCAAGGCAGCGCATACTGTGTCACTGTCTAAGATCAATCCCTGTGAGTGACTGTCCACACAGGAGAGAATTTGGCTTCCTGACTTTTGTACATCTCTGTCTTCCCTTCTGTTTGTAAAGCAGTTAGTGTGTGTATGTGGATGACACAGAGGGTTAAAAGCTGTGACCCTCGGTTTGGTTCTGAGACTTCTCTTTGCGCCCCTTTATCCTATAAAACCCTCTATCATCACCACCTCCCTGCACCACGCTTTTATCTCCATCTCTTTCTCCATCTCACTACTCCCTTTCTAATTGACTGGGCAGCTGGGTCCCCCCCCCCCT